AGAGTGGCCTGGTGTGGGAGAAGGTCTACTGAATAACAATGTAGAGGATAATACCTTATTTTATTACAAATGCTTGGTGTGGAGCACACAGTACTAAATAATTCTCAAACTTCTTTATGCCCAAAAAGGTTTTTAAGCGACATTCCAAGTCCTCAAGTTCTTCAGGAGGAGATGGCCTGGATGAAGGAAAGACTATCAAATTTAGGCTCACCTGTGGTACTCTGTCACAATGACCTGTTGTGTAAGAATATTATTTACAACAAGAAACGAGGTAGGTCTTGAACTAAACAGTAAGTAGTGAGTGGCTTTGTTTATGCTGTAATTGCATTTGCTACGTCAATGGTGTCATTTTGCTGCCTTGTTCAAGTGAGCTCAGTTGGAGCTTTTAAGACCCATTGTAATGGTAGTGATACCTGTGCAAGTACTGAGTTGCTTAATTAGCTAATTCTTGTCTGTATGTCAGTGTACAAAGGAAGAACGTTGGTGTTCCTTGCTTTTCCGTAATGAGTTAATGAATTTGTTAATCCATAGCCTGCCTCTGTGACTAGGCTTCAAAGTTGGTAATTGGTTGTGTTAATTCCAGTTGCATAAAGCTTTTAGGAAGGAAAAAAAGTCGTGCAAGCAGAGAAAATAACCTGGAAGGCATCATCTCATATAATGTGTACTGTCCTGGTTTGTGAATGTGGGAAGACACTTTCTTAATGAAGTAACTTAGTGATGCTTAATACTACATTCAGTGACTCAGTTTGTTTTCTGCATGAGGTGCACGGGCATCTTAAAGACTTCTTTTGTAAATACATACTTCATTTAAACTGTTGTAGGCAGAGATTAATTACTTCTTTGTTTTTATGATAAAATATTTAACGCGCAATTCATGTTATTGAAGAATGCCTGTGTTAAAATCCATAAAGCTTCTGTATAAACCCATAATTTCTTTCATTTCTTGCCTTTAGTGGTTTGAGGTTTGGTTACTGAATGAATCCATTAAACAGGATATTAAACAAAAGACAAACTTGTGACGCTATAATGGCTCTGGTGCAGTAAAAATGCCCAGCTTTTCCTCCTATTTCAAATACCTGAGCTCAGCAAAGTGCGACAAATTCACTGTTTTAGATCAAGATTTTCCTTTGAAGTGAAGATGACGTTTTCCTTCTAATCGTTCCATGTTCATTTGTGACGGTTTGATAAGATTGTGGGTATGTAAGCCAAAAGTATGTGAAGTAAATGACTGTGAATGGATTGAAGTCTTCTCCATCAGGTACGCTTGGTCTTTGACCTCTTCAACTTACATGCCATAAATACTAAAAAAAACAAACCAAAACAAAAAACTGGCAAAAAATATGCTGGAGTTGGTTCTAGTATGAAAACTGGCTGTATATGTATATAGTTTCTGAGTATGTATATAGTGTATAGTTTCTCTATATGTATATAGTTTCTGAGTGAGGTGCACTGAAGGCATGTGATTTGAGAAAATGGTCTTCTGGTTGTATTCCTTTCCCTCTAAGTCATACCACTTCTGAAGGGAATTGCTATTAGTACTTCTAGTTATATAGGTATATACACGTGTATATACATAAATTTTAAAATCTAAGAATTTGGTACCAAACTTCAGTGGTTTTACCTAGTTTTGATCATGTGTTACAGCTCTGCTTAAAATGAGGTGGGGAGCATGGAAGATCTGCAAAAAAAAAAAGTTCGTTTGTGGGCTGACACGTTGGAGTTGTGATATTGTAGTACCAAAAATAAACCTATTTTTTACTGTGTAGGGTTTTTCAGTGCTGGGTCTACCTTGAGTTTTAGCATTTCAAAACAGACCCACTGAAGTAAAAGTAATTTTTATAGTCACTTTTCATAGTAGAACCATGCTGGGGAGAAAAAAAAAAGGAGGAGGATTTCCTTTGAAAGGTTCACTGTCACGGTTAATAGGCTTGCAGTTCCTACTTCTAAAACAAATGCTAAATGCTTTTCTTTTTGTGAACAGAATGGAGGAAAAAACAATGCCAGCAGTGCATCACTTATGAGCAATCCTACAGTAACAAGTGTGTGAGTGCTTAGCTTTTGGAAACAGGATGGGGAGGAGGGAGGTACGTAAAGTACTTTGGCTTCAAGCTAGCTATAAGGAGGTGGAGGGGGGAAGAGACTTGGAAATATTAATTATATTTATTAAATTTATATTTGAAAGTTGCACATGTACAGTGTTGTAAAACTTCTGCAATGGGGGTACAGCAGGTACCGTTTTCATAGTAACCAAACCTCAATGCCATCTGTAGAAAGAATATTTGTCATTTGAAAGCTGTTTCTTATAGTGTACTTTTTACAGAGCAAAAAATACCCATCTCTCTTTTAGTACAGTTGTAAGATGAAGAATGTGATTTTACAAGTGGAAGCTGAGCTTTAACTGTAAATAAACATATTGCTGGAATTCTGTTTAGTAGAGCAGAAGCTTTTATTGGTATACAAATAATTTTGCAAGAGCACAAATTAAAATCATTAAAGATGCACTTCATTAGGAATGGCATCAAACTGTATGAAGGTATTTAAATAACTTCAGCTTTGGTGATGCTGTCCTCTTACTAAATTTACTCTTCTATCTAGAAAGGCTTCTCTTTATCAGAAATACTTTGGTGACCCTAAACTGGAATTAAAAAAGAGCAAATTGATCTTCTAGATTAACTACTACTTTTTTCTTTCTTTCTTTCCTTCTTTCCTCAGTAAAGTTTGCACAAAGCTGGTAGTGTTTATCTGGCTTTTCAGAAGCTGGCACAAACAAAACTAATTTATTGGTTTTAGCAACACTGCTACTTATACTGTTTGCGAATGCTTAATTTGCACGTTTACTAGGCACGGGGTGGGTGCGTGTCTGTGTTTAAGCTGCAAACTACCAACAGTTACTAGGATTCCTGTTTGGTACAATTAGAATGATTGTGGCTTGTCCCAGTGCTTTGCTTTAAACTTGTCCTTTGTATTCAATTTGTGTGAAATTTTCAGACTTGAAAGAAAAATTGTATCTGTACCACATACCGCTTTTAAGGAGAATCACTCTTGTGTCCTTAAATTTTGTTTATGAGACTGGAACACCATGTTGAGTGCTAGCTTCATTTAATGGAGTTTTACTCATTTGATTTGAATTTGTTCATGCTGTGGCTGAGAGAACTCGGCTTCTTGCTGTTTTGTTAATGTCCGTTTTCATTTGCTCAGGATATGAAAATTTGCAAGTGTTACTTTACATAACTTATAATTATCTGTGCCATCTACTCTTTGAAGGATATAACTTGGAGCTTCGTGTTGCTTTTAATTACAATTTGGACATCAAGATAGTAAAAATATACTTGATGCTTGGTACTGCTTATTTATAGACATTGTGTTCTGATGCTCTTAAAGTTTGAGGTTTATTTTCAACATGTCCTGGGAGTTTCCAGAAATACCTGATGTTTTAAGAGTATTCAAATACTTGCTATTCATAAGACCCAAGTATCAGTATTGTTTTGTCTGTGTGTGTGTTCTTTTTGAATGTATTAAAATGACCTGCCAGGAAGTTAAGTGTGTAGGTAGATGGCTAGCTTTGTTCTGTTTATTCCCTCTGCCTACCCAATGTTTTCTATGATCTTTGGTAGGAGTCTGTGGGTGCTCAGTGCTTCTGAAGACTGAGGTATGTTTAAGGCTTCTGGTTTTGATGTAAAACCCTAATTTGTTTTGCAAAGCTATATGGGGTATTTATAGCTAAAATCATTCTTTGGGTATACGACCCATTTGTGAATTTTCAGGTACATTTGTAGAACCTTTACCAAAGCTGTCTTCTAGGGCCTCAGTGGCTCACCCGATGAGCAGGATGGGATGGAACTCAGGATACAGCGTTCTGTTGTGGTAACTACAGCCAGGACTTGCACATTGAAAGTGCTTCCCTTCCAAAACCGTTAAAAGTGAGGAGCAGCTAGAAGGAGAGGTGTCATCACTCTCCTACCTTTCAGGTCCCTGAGGAGATCTGGCAGTTGCTCCATTGACTACTGCTTGATCTAGTGCAAAATTAATCTCTGGTGTATGGAACACAACATATATTCCATTTTGTATCATTATGTGTTTTTTGTAGATTGCATTGCATGTTGTCTATGCAGTAAGGAGACCACTTGAAATACTCAATACTTCTCTATTCCTGTTGATAACAGCACCTTCTCCAGAGACATGAGAGAGTTTAGTTTTAAATCATGTCTCACTTCAGTAAAGTACAAATACACTTAGACTAGCATCTCTTGTTGGTCTGCCTGCTCCCAGTGCTACCAGTGGGATGTACAATACATATATATATATTTTTTTTACTTACTAGAAACCTCAAAACCAAAGCTAGATGCTTAACTTCTAATGTAAGCCGTATCTTTTAGAAGTGGCTTTCCTGTATTGACTGCAGTACATACTACAACTAATTTCTAATACTGTAGATATTTAAGCAACTAATCTAAAGCTGCTTCTGCCTCTAAAACAAGGTAGCTGGGACATGTATGTGTTACACACTTATCAAGTGGCAAACTTAAAAGTTTTTGCCTCCTTTCAGTTTCCCAGAAAGATCTTTGTTTTGAGCCTTCATGCAAAAATTAAATCTAAGCTTGAATTCCACAGTAGCATGAATCTGAAAGTGATCAGTAAAAATGAAGGACTTTCACTCTGAACTCTTGTCTTAGCAAATGTGGGTTTGCCAAATTCTCGGCTGCTGCACATGAGGTATGTCATGGCTGCCTTGTGGTGCCGAGCACCGTGCTACTGGTTCACTGACTGAAGGTTCATCCTGTCGCTTGTTCACATGCATTTCCCTGTAGGTGAGTGCCTAGTGACAGCCTCACCTGTATCTTGCTAGAGTCAATTTCTTTTTGTATGTAATATTATTTATGTCTGGAAGTAAGTTTTAATTGTTAGCTATACTTAAAAATGCATAGTAGTACATGTCCAAGATGAAATTTGCACGTTAAAAGTTTGAACTGTTTCTTATGTTGATAATTTTGCTAGCAGACTTTTATTTGCTGTGTTTATTTTATGTGAGGGAGGAAGGAAAAAACCTCTTAATACAAGCAGCATTTAATGTTCAGGGGGCTAGGGAATTCAGGAGATGAGTGGTGTAGCAGAATCTTAACCAGGATTGGGCTGTGCATTTTGACTGGCTTGTAACTTACAGGTGCTTGTTTTAAAAAGTAGCACTTAAGAACCCCTGGGAAACGCAATCATGTGAATCTGCAAGTCAAGCCGTGGCAGAAGTTAATCTTCAACAATATGATAAGATTTTGGCTGCGACTGCTGTAAAATTTCTTGTACTTTCAGAGTTCTAGAGAACCTCAGTTTTCCATTGCCAACAAGATTTTTCTGGGAGATGCTTGCCACTTTGCAGGCCATTTTCACATTGATTTGTTAGAGCAAAAACCATTTAACCTCATAACCTTGGTAAGCAATCCTGTCTTTCTCGGAAAGTAAGTGTAAACTGCGAGGATTGTGACCAAGTGTTGTGGGGTTCGACTTCCTTTACAAGTGTTTATGTGAGGATTTATCTATCTGGAAAATGTTAATGTGTTGATATTTAAAATACAGTCAAGATGAACTGCATAGAAAGGAACACTTGTAACAAAGTTGTTCTGTGATAACTTGGTCAGGACATTTATCTGGTAAAACTATTGTTTGATATGTGCAATATCCATAAATGCTAACAAGGCAGCATATTATTAAACAGAATTTTTAGTCTAGGAGGGTTTTTGCTTTTTTTTTTTTTGACTTGGAGATCTGATAGTTAGCATTAGTGTCTGTAAGATGTTTTAAGTTATGCTAAGAAGATTGTTCATTGTAATGGAATATGCTTTCATTGAGTAAATATGCAGATAGCCATGAAAAGAATGGGTATATAGAGAGATACATAGAGAGAAGGGTGCAACTATGAAAATTACCCTTTTCAGCATAGCAGTGGGAAACGTATAGGTTTTACATTTTAATGATATTCTAGGGCAAGCAGCTCTGAAATTAATCCATTGCTTCCTTTTCTGATGCTTTTAGTAATTTTACTAGTTTGATCTGTAAAATACAAGAGCTCTAGTTGTACCAAATCTGTTTTAGTGTTTTGACAGTTTGATGTGGTATAGGCATTCTTGAGCAGCTTCAGTGCTGTGTTATCTTGAGTAAAACATTTTCCCCAGCTTCACTATAGGTAAACATAATATGGAAACATTTGGGGCTATATTTCCTGTTTTATCAGTCTTTATTTATATAACACTACATAGTTCCGTAATTTTGATGACTTGAGAATTGTCTGATGGCTTCTGGAGACTTGCTTAAGCCACCTAAAAACAACAACTAAGAATAGTCTTGCTTTTTAAGTGTGGTTGGAGGAAGCAAGAAATAATGACCTGTTAAAAGAGATATCAGCATGTTGCAATATGTTAGTCCATTGTGGTTGCACACTCCTGTGAGAATAAAGAGGACTTTTTTTTTTTTTTTTGAGTCGGGGAAAAATTGATCTGCTATTTCTATATAAAGTTCAAATAAAGGATCTGCTGTATTTCTTATTTTGAAGGTAAGGGATGCCCTCATGTGGTAGAACTTAAAATTGAAGTTCTACTATTCAGAGTTTAAAAATTGAGAATTGCAAGCTCTTAAGTAAGCATTATAGAGCTTTCTTGAATCAATATTCAAGGGAATGTAGTATAAAAATCACAGCCTTACCCTGGAATGTCTTGAGTGCACACAACTGGGTGCAAGTAAGACCAGTGTGTGGTTTTGTTTTGCCTTTCCCCCAAAACTTCAAAGGACACCAAAGGATTAGGGCTATGACTTTGTTTGGTGGGGGCTCTGATGTTGCTGCTCTTGTGTCTCACATAGGTGATGTGCAGTTCATAGACTATGAGTACTCTGGATACAACTACCTGGCTTATGACATTGGAAATCACTTCAATGAATTCGCAGGTAAGAATTGGATTTCTGAGGTAAAGGTAAATGGTTTTATGAAAAAACCTCATACTTGCACATGCTCTTTGTATATCTAAATACATGTGGGCAGCTGTTCAACTGATGGTATCAAAATGTGTTGATGTCTTACCTTGCAGAGTAGTTACACCTTTCCTTTGCAGCTCTGCTGTCCCAGAAATGAGAACATCAAATGCTAAGTTTTGGTAGATTTAGATCAATGCAGAACTCACAGCTTTCACAGTATCCTTCTGTGAAATGACACAGCAGAGACATCCCACAGCAATGAAATGCTGCAGATGTATCTTTTACAGAATAGGTATATACTGAGAATACACTGTGTGATTCCACAGTTCCAAATGGCAGACTTCAGTGTCTTTTTCTGGTGGCTTTAACTGTGTATGCTCAGTATTTCCCCTCAAGTTGCATCCTAAAATCGGAATTGAGGGCAAGACTATGTGATAGGAAAAAGGTGGGATATTAGGAATAAGGTGCTGGTAGATGAATTCAATAACTTTTCAGTGAATGCCCTTTCCATTTACTCTGTAAGAGAGAAATAACATTGAGTGTATGCTGTTACTTAAGAAGATGAATGGCCTGGTTTAAACTAAAACCAAACCAATTCTGTTTAGTTAATTTAATTTTCACCTAATTGTCTCCTAAAAGACTGTATTTTAAGTTACCAGCATATTTTTGCAGATGGGATCTGCTACTGGAAGTGATAATGCCTTGATGTTTATACTTCCTACCAAGAACTGATATGCAGACTCTTGCTTGTACTTGCTCCTAATAGTGACCAAGGTCACTGCTAAATCTTGTGTAACAAGTTGGGGTGCTGGGAAGTGGAATATTCACAAAGAAGTAAAAAGTCACACCTTCCGGGAGGAGCAGACAGGACAGGTGTTCCAAACATGCCCAACAAAGTATTCCATTCCGTGTAAGTCCTATTCAGTATAAATCTGAGGGATCACAGGGGTTAAGCCCTCTTCTTCAGCGGCCAGCATCTGAGGAGGACTCCTCCCATCTGTTCTTCTGCCCTCAACCCTGATCCATGAGGTACTGAATCCAGCTCCTGTGTGTTCCCCTCTGCTGCTGCACCTGGGATTTACGTACAGGTCTCTCTTCTTATGCAGCATGTAATACTTTGTATGATTGGGAGGGCTTTTCCTGCATAGTGCAAATGGTTTTCCGTGAGGCTTCTCTCAAAGCCAGACTTGTTGAAGCCCAAAATACAAGTGGAATATGTATGCAACTGAGAACACACACAGCGTAAATCTTTTGCAATGTTGACTGCTCACATTCATGTGTGAGAAATTCTTCCCAACATGTAAATGATACCATCAAGTCAAATTGAAATCACTGATACTTGTCCACATAAGTTTGTGTGCATTGGGGATGGGGAGGGGGGAAGTGGTCCAGTAATGAAGTTGCAATGGTCTTTTTAGACACTGTATGGTTCTAATAGATGTGTATTTTTCTTTTTCTAGGAGTAAATGAGGTAGACTACAACCTTTATCCTAACAGAAAATTACAGGAACAATGGCTGAGATCTTACCTTGAGGCCTACAAAGAATATAAAGGTTTTGGCACAGAAGTCAGTGAAAAAGAAGTTGAGGTTCTATATGTCCAGGTCAATCAGTTTGCACTGGTAAGTAACAAACACTTGATTAGAACATATTAAATGCCATAGGGAAGCTTGCTACTCTGTGGACAAATGTAATTGCTAGTTTATTGGACTGCTGTGGCATGTAAAAATGCAATGAAACACTTCCTTAGCCTGTTTTGTGGAAACTTTCTGCTGTGTTGTGTGTAAAGAGTGCTCTGTAGAATACTTTTAGTGAAGAGACAGTGAGTGGTTTAGAAAACAAGGAGATGAGCTTTTAGTGAGGATTTCTCTTGGCTGTTTATTGGTCTGAAAAGTTCCTGAGTTGGCTAGACCTTACAGTAGATTCGTGTAGGACGTTTTCTTGTGATGGGAAAAAAAGAGCAAAGTAGTACTTCATAACCTACAAATCTTCTGATTTTTAAAAGCCTTTAAAAATAAGATTATAAAATTTGTTACAATAAAACTAGGATACTATTTTATTTGCTGATTAATTTTTAAATTTAACAGACGGTTAGGTCACTCTAGAGTCTTACAGTACTATATGAGCTCTTTCCTTGCCTGCATGTCTTGCCAAAGAGGGAGTTGATTTCAGATTTGGTTTTGGTCTCCTTAGAGGCTCTAAATTGTAGCAAAGTGCACATATAGACTACTGTGGCTCCCCAGACGTTCTGCCTTTCTGTCAAGTGTCAGTGCTGGCTGTGTGAGTCTGCTCCCAGCTCCTCCTGTATCTTGTGTATTACAGCCTGTCTCCTGTCTGTCAGTGTGTCTTTTGCAGACTTTGAATGTAAAAGCTTCACTCCTTTTTTCCTTGCGTGGATGGAGCGTGTTCAGTTTTGATCTGACCTTGGTGCCTTGTCTTTCGGGGGAGGAAAGAAACACGTCAAGTGCAGTTCATGGAAGTAGAGTTAGAAGTCAGATAGATTTGTGGCATTGAGTCTTCCAGTGTCCCAATGACATACACTGTTAGAAGCAGTCTGAAGATGTCTTTTTCTTTTCTTCTTCCCCAAGTTTTATCTCTGTGATTTCTGAATATACGTTACAGGTTCACGTTACTTTCGTTACGTTTCCCAACATTCCCTACAGACTGTGACAGGGAATGTTACAGCAAAAGTGCCTTTTACTCAGTACCTAGATAATTTTTTTTCCTCCCCTGCTGAATAACAAGCCAAACCACTTGTAGGTTTTCCTCCCCTGCTGAATAACATGCCAGACTACTCATAGGGGGCCTAAGTTGGTCTTATTTCAGTTTGGCCTTATTTCAGTCCTCTTTCTGACTAATCCAAGCACACCTCTGTTACTGTAGTACCTTCAGTTTTCTGACAGCAGCTCATGGTTGCAATGAGGAAATGCCGTTCACATTTTAGGAAGGTGATTGTTAAACAAGCCCTTGAAAATATCAACTTGTTTGCTTCCAAAATCTCTGTTATTTATTGTTAGTGTTAATTGCAGGTCTAACTTTCCTAAATGAATGGGACAGCTGAATTTATGTAGGCTGGTGGTCTGTCTCAAGCTATGTAACATTTTTTTATCACTTTTAAGCTGTGGTCATGCTGGTGTTAAAGAGGATAGACTTCTGTTTAGAGAACAGCTCCAGATCACACATGATGCATCAGTACTGGCAAACGCTCTTGTGCTGGTTGATGTGGAAAGCTTTGTTAAGAGAAAATTTGAGCTAAAGTTAATTGATGCTGATATAAAACACCAGACCACTCGCTGTCAGCTGAAGTTATCTAGACAAGAGATTCAAGAAAATTCACATGTGCATACAGGAGTTGTTTTAAGGTGTTTTCAGATGCGTGTGTGTCCCTGTGTCTTCTATACTTCTGATGAAGTCTTACATGCAAGCTTCAGGAAGCAGTTTAGGCAGTTACTCTAAGCAGTTATTTACTGAAGAAAAGCCTGAAGTATATCACTTGTAACCTGGGCGGTGCAGAAATACCTTCCACAAGGTGACTATATAAAGCTCACGGCCATTTGCATGTATTTGTTCATTTGAAGTAGACTAACAATCACATCATTAATGTAGTCCATAGTTCAGATATAATATTGAATGTAGGCTTCTAGACTACTCATCTGGCCTCTCAATAAGTAATTTTGGAACAGATGAGAAGTTTGGGTAAATGATGAGGTAGAGATTGTCTTACATAGCTATAGATCATACTTCTTTGTCCCAAGTCAGGAGTGAAGGTGAGCTGTAGTTATAGTGGCTTAAGGGTTATAATCAAACATTCAAAAGAAATTTCGTGTTTGCACTAGAGTCGAATACGTGTAGAATAATATGTATTTAATTAGCAGTGGTAGAAATTAAATCGTTGCATTTCTGTGTGTTTTTTTAACATGGTGCATGGAGTTTTGCAACAACCTACTTAATAGCTGACCTATTTTATAAATGCAACATGTTTTTTTTTTTTTAAAGCAATACATGGAGAGTTTGGAGATGGATGGATGGATTTACTCTTCCACTAGTCAGTAATTCTATAATACTTGTTTACCAAACTCTTTAGAAAGAGATCAGATAACTTTACAAAAACATTGGGTTTTGTGAGTTCTCTCATAAATAACTTTTTTTTGTCTCGTGTGAGAATGTTTACATGTTGGATTTTATACAACATTAATATTTCACTAATAATTTTTTTTCAGGCTTCCCACTTCTTTTGGGGATTGTGGGCTCTAATTCAAGCCAAATATTCCACCATTGACTTCGATTTTCTAGGGTAAGTGCCCATGCTACATGTAATCTTGGAGTATGTGAGGCTGGAAAGGACCCTGGGGCTGTTTAGTCAAACACCCCAGCTGCCAGAAACAGTGAGGTCTGAGCAGTAGACCTGATGTCTGATGTATGTGGTCACACTATGCAACTCTTTTATTTTTAAGAGGAAAACAAGATAGTAAAAGCTGTCTATCTGTGCTTTTTGTTACTGAAAGTTCTTTAGCCCAGGGGCCCATATGCATTTAGAGAAGTTGGTGTGATGCAGCAAGGAACATAACTGGAGGATTAAATGTTTTTTGGGACCCGGATGTGTTTTGTTGGAGAGACAAAGGCATGAAAGCCGTGTGTGTTGTACTGCCTGTCAGATACAAGACCTGCATTTCCAGCTGCAAGAGTTAAGAAACAGGGCTCTTGTACAAAAGAGCTTGTTTGCTTCTTGCATGGAATACTAATCTTGGATATTCCTAATCTTTTTTGAAGACTCTTTGCAATGCCAATGCATGTTAAATTCTGTTTCCTAGGACACTGGCAAGTGGTGTTCAGATTCAGGTAGATGTGTGTCTGGCGGTTTTTAAAATTGTCTTTGGTGGCAAGCAGAGGAAATCATCTCTCCATTGGGGACTGGACGAGATAATAAAATTAATCATTTTGCTTAATAAAAGATCCCACTTTAGAGTTTTTTGTACTACCCAAGCCAGTTTAATAGGCTTAGTTGTGTAATTTTGTCAGTGAAGCAAATGTGTATTTCTTGTGACTAATTACTCTCAAGCAGAAGTACTTGTTAGTAGCCGCTAGATGGCACAAAAAACACGAGTTAAAGCACAGGTGGTGGAACCCCAAAACTTGTCAGTTTTGAATAAAATACCATTCTTGCTGTGATTAAGATCAGAATTCTCTGGAGTTGTAGTCGATTGTTGGACACTCTTACGAACTAGTAAACATGAAAACGCTGCCTTCGATAATGCTGGAATAGCGTCTGTTTTGCAAAAATTGGCAAGCTTGGGAGTAGGTGGTTGGTGGTGAGGAAGTACCGTGATGTGCTTGCTCTGTTCTTGGGAGTTGGCCTTGATGATTCCTAGAGATCTTTTCCAGCTCTGGTTATGTGATTGTTAATTTACTCCTTTGGCAGCTGTGGAGGGTCAGTGTTAGGAACCAGGGTAGAGGGGTAGGTGGACTTCTGACTAGTCCTGCCTAGCTGAGCTGTTTTTATTTGAGGAGTTCCATGCTCTTAACTTGAAATCTCTCTCTCCCTTTTAATAGGTATGCAATTGTTCGGTTTAACCAGTATTTCAAAATGAAGCTGGAGGTCATGGCATTAACTCTTCCTGAGTAATGAAAGGAAGAAACTTACCAAGTGGATAGACAACCCCTGAATCTTTTCTGAGAACAGATACTGGAAAAAAGCTAAACATTTATTGAAGTTCTGTAATGCTCACTTGGTGGTTCTTGCTTTATAAATAATGCCTCTAAACAGTCCTTCAATGTTAAATTTAATATGAAGAGCATATGTACTGCTGTTGATATAAAACAGATTAGAAACTTTTTAAATCTATAAAAAGTTGTAGAAATGGCAATTTAATCTTTCTTTGTAATTTAACATATGTTGTATGTGAATTATTTATTATAAGTTTAACATGATTCCATTGCTGCTTTCATCAGTTGTTGTAAAAGTTGGGTGCAGACGGTGAAGTTGTTCCAAAGGATTTGTTTAAGAACTTATTTTATTGAAGTTGAATTAACTTATATTCAAGAAAACATGGTCAGTGAATATTCACCTTTTGGATGTACAGAAGCAAAATGAGTGATAACAAACTCATGACATCACCAGTGTGGTGTAATTAGGGAAAAAGGTAATGATGACCTTTCCCCTCGACCACCCTTTTAAAAAAAAGTAAAAGGTAGCTTTCCATATGGTGGTACTTTTCTTTTGTATATGAATCAACCAGCTTGCTGAAAAGATAAACAATGCTTTGATTTATTTTTTTTTTTAATTTTCCTTCTTGATGCATTAAGCTGTAGAAATGTGAAAGTTCTGTGGCTGTCAGATCTCTGAGGATGTGTACCATCATAGTGTTAGACGGACAACGTACCATCTCCAACCTCTGTGGGAAAGCTGCTTGCTTATTAAGTGTACTTCGCAAGCAAAAAGACCACTATTCCAAATCTGTATTTCCTTTTAAAGCTTGATTCTCAATTTGAACACTATTCTGGTGTCCATATTTGAGGTGCTTCAGCAGTGTCTAACTGAATGGACTATTGAACTGAAGACTAGTGGGCAGAGGTCCTGTTGCACTGGGGGAGCACAACACTTAGGTTTACAGTTCATGTATTGTTGACATCTTTCTACTTTGTCATCTTCTAACCTTGGATTCTAGTCTTAAACGCTTGGTCCTGTAGTTGCAGAGCCTGGTATGTATTTTATTTTTTTCCTATCGCAGAAAATTACTTTTCATTCAAAGTCTCCAGTTTGAAGGGTAGTATGGAAAGTGTATGACTTGAACAATGGGGCTTTGATCATCACACTCATTTTCTTATTTCTTAAAGCTATTATACCAAGAATGGTCTGGACTACAAAAATGTGAATTGAAAAGCAGATGTTTACTTAACAAAACGATGTATAAGTTTGCATGGAAAAGAGGCTTTAAATCTGAAAGGGGGTGGGGGTGGGGGCAGCGGGAGGGGAAGAAACCCACAACAGAAAGATAAAACCCAACAGTGCAGTGTGGAGTTGGGTGAGCATAACTCAACTCTGATTATACTCTGAAAAACTTTGCACTTTGGTCACATAAGTGCCCACATGTACAAAGTCTGTGTGCATATACACATGCAAACACAAACTTACCTGAAGAGTAAATATTATGGGGGGGGTCTGTTGTGCAGACTCCAGCAAAGATACTTATTCAAAATTGCTTTATGGCACAATGCTGTATACAGGTGCGTGTATATGTGTATTCATATGTACACACATTATATATATACACATTGTGCTTTACAAAAGCTTGGATTGATTCAGGACAAACAAAATTGATGTGAATGAAAAACTTTCACCTTGAAAGACCATTTTGAATGGCATTCTGTTATTTTACAAAAACAAGATTTGGGACTTATTTTTTTTTCCCCTCTTGTTTATATTCATGTCTGAATGTTTCAGGTTTTCTATTTCCTTCAGTCAAAACCTTAAAAATCCCAATACAGGTGGGAGAAGTAGGATTTTTTTTGAAATTGAAATTAGGTAACCATTTTCATTAGCATTTGTTAGCTGGAGGCTACTATACTGGACATATTTTCTTGGTAGTTAGGTAGAAACAAGTAGTTAAAATAGACATGTATATTTTCTTTTGTAGCAGTTATCAAGGATGTTGCTAGAGCTCACAAAAGCACTGAAGACTTTTAATTCTCTGTACTTTCTCCCTGTTGACATTGTTGACATCTGTTGAATAATATCCAGTTGTCTTGGTTAGACCCTTTTAAGTTCAGGATCTCCTGGGAAGTAATATTGATAGAGATTTTTGAACTCTCAGTATTATTTTCTTCAAGCAGTGGCTTTGTTTCTGGGAGTGTTGTTTTGTTTTGTGAAATATTTGAAGAAGGCTGTGAAGTTCGCTTGTTTTGGGAAATCCAACACTTGACAGATCAAAACTTTCCCAACAGTTGGCAAAACAGGTACCAGTACTGTTTAAGTTTGGAGTTCGTGTAATTTTTTTCAGTTGTATTTTTGTTTGTATAGCTCAAGTAGCAATAACTGTACGAGTGGAAGCTTGCTTCTGCAGAACCAAAGCTCTTCATGAATGCAGCTCAATCTCATTCTTGTGGAGGGAAGTTCCGCTGAATCCCATAAAAGCACTTTGAAGCAGACAGTAAATACTGCAGGCTTTTCCTGAGCCACTTGGAAGAAGCACAAGGATTGTCGCAGGTTACAGTGGTTGACATTGCAGTACTGGTAGAGACTTTCATTTTGCATGTTGAAATTCATTTTACACACCTAAATGCTGCTTTGCATGAGGCTTTCTTTCAAGACGAGTGCAGATGAAAACAATTTCTGATCAGTTCTGAGGAAACGCTGCAAAACGTGTTCCAAAATGAACCGCTGGTTACCTTGAGCCTTGCTCCACATCCGCTTGGGCCAGTAGCACTTGGATAATCTCCCTTGCTGAGGAATATCTACAGATGTGTTAAATTTGAAGCGGTCGTTTGCAATAGCATTGCAGATTGTAAGGTAGCTTGAAACTGTGAATACAGGACGTTCTGAATGTAAGTTAGGTACTAGAGCACCGAAGTAGAGAACGTGTACTTGTTCCAATTAGTTTATCTCAGTCTCTTTAATAGCAATGTTAAAATATTTGAAGGAGGACAAAAAACGGCTGAGCTCTAGAAACATCCTGTAGTAGTTTTGACTGTGACTTGCCAAGAAGATACTCTGTTGCCTTTATGTTAAGCTGATGGCATGAATGCCAAAATTAATAATTCTTGCTGTAGTTAAACTTATATTGTAAATATAAAGAGGATTATTAGTAATGGCATTCTTATCAAGTCAATAGACCATAGTGGCCTGGTTGCTTTTGTAAAGCAGAATAGTGTGAATTTTTTTCTTCTCATTTCTGCAGTCAGATCTGGATAATCCATGCCTAATTTCCTAGGCCACCTAAACATTATAGATTTCTGAATGGAAACTAGTCTCTCTTATCATATAATTTTCAATTCCTTCACTTACACTTCTTCATTTGCATTTTAAAAGGACTTCCCAAATTTGCATTAACCAGGTCTGACTGTATTTGTATATACAACAGTGTAAATAACCATTTGTAAATTAGTGTGAATTGTACTGTATCTTGCATTTATGGACTTGTGTATTGCATTGTATTCTCTCCTATTTTGTAGAAATTTTGATGTAAAGATGAAATCTAACTCTGTGTGCGGACTTCTTTTGTTAGATTAACATGTAACAAAGCATAGTAGTTTTATGTTAAGGTATCCATTTATAGCCTTGGGCATCCAGTATCTTTTTTCCCCCGTTAGCTTTCTTGACATTATGCTCTTGGGAATGGTTCTGGGAATAAAGGAATTTATACAGTACTAAGATGAAGAGAAAGTCTGTTCTAATAACAGGGCAAACTGTGTCACAGGTACACATAGTACCTATGGTATAGAGAAAGCTGTTAAAATTGTTTACTTAAACTTCCAAAAATTTCCTATACATTCTTGAATGCTGATGACTTCTAAATGTAAGCATGTTGAAGTACTGAAGTGTGTGTTCCCATGGTGACAGCAAGTGAGCTAGTTGTGATAAAAGTCCCCCAACTTCAGTGTTCTTGGTGGATATAGCCTTAAAATAGGTTTAATTGCTAACTTCTGAATGGTTATAATAAACGCCCAAATCAGTAAAATAGTTCTGCCAGTCACTTTCCTCAACACTAGAAGCATTGATAGCCCTTCTAGGCTATTTTAAACTTATCTCTGAGGTATTTTCCCTGTGTACCATTCTCTCCTCTTCCTCCCTGTGCCCACAACCTTGCTTCATTAGTGGGAACATGAATATAAAGGTTTCCTTTTCCATAGTTTTGATCATCACTATTTCCGTTTTGACTAAATTTGCCTTCTGTTTTGTCAGTATGTGACTCTTCATCAGATTTTATTTTTTTGTATGTATGTAGTAAGCCCTTTTCTGAAGAGGCCTTTTGTCTTGGAAGTGTAGACGTAACGAAGCATAGTTTTCCCCAGATGCCTGGCTGTATTTCATTACTGTTGCCTTTCACTCTGTTTGGAACTCTGTAGTATCCTTAAAGGTGTTTAGTTTATTTTTAATCACAGCTATATTTAAGAAGTGCTGGCAAATACTGGTGAGTGAATTTCTTTGTCTATCCAGCAGACTGATCTTGATGCAATTGGTACATCCTGTCAGCTTTACCTGTGCCAGGTGAAAGGTCTGCGTGCTTGTCAGCGTTGACCCTTGAAGTTATTAGGGTTCTGAGAAGGGAGTTTCTCAAGTATGAGTCAAGAGGAGGGATGGGCTTAGTAAATAAGAAATCATTCATATGGAAACTCAAGCTTTTGATGTAGTAAGGTATTGGATGTGCTTGTTTACTTGGATAAAGACGAGCAAATTGTAAAGTTTGTTTTAAAGTTAAGTTCAAATTTTTAAAAGTTTTCCATAGCTAACAAAAGTTTATAAAATGATCTTTTGTTATTCCTGCTTTAAAAAAATCTTAAAACAAATTTTGGTAACTTTCTGATCAAACAAAACTTGGTTTTATAACCCAGTGGAATATTATCTCTTGCTTTGCTATAGTCTTTCCTGTAGTTTGCAGAGGAGGTTGACCGTATCTTGCTTGTCTGATTTTGAGGTGGCTGGCTCTTCTTGAGTTGTTTTAATGTGTTTGTCTTGTTTACTGTGTTCTTGGATGCCATCGAAGGTGTGCCAGAGAGCTAAACTACTGGAATTAGCTGCTGTCTCCTGTTGTCTCTTCCGCACCAAGCAGGCTGCAATTATTGTAGTAGAACAGAAAGCATTTCATCAAGCCGTGAGGTAATGTAAGGCTGATGCTGAGCGGTCTTGCAGTTTTTCCCTCCTTTTTATTTCTGTGGGTTGCGAGCTGATTGTTTTCCTTAGTTGTGAAAGATATGAAAAGCCACAACCTTTGGTCCTGTGCAGGGTAAGTGGTGTTAGCCAACTGTACAACTTTTAAGAAAGTGGCTCTCAGCTGTGAGAAACCACACAAATCCGGATGGGATGTGTTGGAACAAACAAAACTTGGTGGCTTACAGACCTCTGGAGTGGAAAGGAGAA